GGTTTTGCTGTTATTCTCACGACATATTAACATTTAAAAAACAACATGTAACACGTAAACTTGTCATGAAGAGGAGGTAATTTTGTCGTTTTCCTCTTGTTAAAGTGGTCCATTTAACAAGAAGAAAACGACAAAATTACCGCCTGTTCATAACAAGTTTATTTGTTATATGTTGTTATTTAAATGTTAATATGTCGTGCGAATAACAGCAAAATAACCATTCATTTACTAGGTTTCGTTCCACACGGGATGCTACGTCAAGGAATCAAGTTTTCAAAACAAATTTTTATTTCTTTGAAATGTACTCAAAAACAGTGGGTATAGTCTCGTTACGTTATCGTTCGGAGGGCAGAGACACTTTGCGTGAATTGTATGAACGACTGTTCAACAGTGCGTTGCCAGCCGCTAATTCGCCCAGCACGCAAAATACTGATCGTGTGAGTGAGAAGGCATCGAAGGATAGCGTTGTGTGGGGGATGAAGGGATGGGAGGGTGGTGGGCGCCCTGGTAGACCACTGCCGCTAGCGCTTCCGGGGCCGCCGTCCGGTAGAGTGCGGGGGGCTGTTGCCCCTCCCCCTCCCGCCGCCCCGGTGACCGTCCGTAGTCAGCAGCATCACAAGAGCTCCGAAAGGACGCCGCCCTCCCCTCCCACCCCCATCCATACCACCAACGCCAGCAGGGCGGTGGCAATGCCAATATTCTGATAGGTTTTTCCGTATAGCCATGCAGGGTAGTAAAATTCCACAGCCCTCTCGAAAATCGCTCACAAAGTCGCTTCCTCCTGCTCCAACTGGGCGCTTCCCCTTCCTTCGCCCCCCTCCCCTCCCCCCTCTGATGTGGGATTGAGGGGGGGGGGGAGAGGGGGTAGGGAGGTGAGGAGAGTATGGGCTCTCTGCAGGTCGTATCTTCGGCTACGTTCTGTTCGGCACTGCTAGGGCTTTGCGGCTCCATGACTGGATTCGGACCTCCCCCCAAACCCTCCCTCTCCCCTTCTCCCTGTCTCCGTCTCCCGACCCTCTTCCTCTAACCCTCTCTCTCTCTCTCTCTCTCTCTCTCTCTCTCTCTCTCTCTCTCTCATCCCGGCAGCAGCGCAGAGCGCTACTTTCCCGCAGAACAGCGCAGTGCGCGAGCCGAGTTAAATCTTTGAGAACGACTGGGCGACGAGGGGGAGAACGACGACGCCTCCACGACGGGGGCGCCCCACCCCGCCCCGCCCCGGGAAACGTATCTCCCGAGGGGCTCAGCCGGTCCCCGAGCCACGCGCAGCGGGTGACCAAGCGCGGGCTCAGAGGCGGCCGCCGAGTCGTCACCATTCAGCGCGCAAGCAGGTCCCGCGTGGAACGGGCCACACTGTTAAAAAAAAACAATCAAACGAAACGAATTTAGGATATTTAAGTTTGTTCTATCTTACTTGTAATGTAACGACAGTACGTTGTTAACGTGTCCAGCTAGCTGGGCGCAAGAAGTTCCAATGAAAAAAAATATTATATCCAGTTTTAATTATATATTTGATCCCACACAAAAACTTGGGGGATTGTATCAAGTACATCGATAAATTAACCGTGAACCGCATTGAAGGGCTACTCGGGTTTCGGAATAACATAGCAATGAACGGCCCAGCATCCGTTAGCCATTTCAGATTTATTGCCAAACAAGGCTCTTAACCTATAGTGTCCATAAGGCATGACTGGGACATTTGGAAAAGTCCAGTCTACTGGGGTGTTATTGGCCTCGTAGACTCCCTGTAAATGAGATTAATCGTTTTTTTTTCTGTGCCAAGTTGCAAAAATATTCACTCTCTAACAGTAATTAGCATGAAAATAGGCAGAGACAAGCGGTCAAGATTTCCAAAGCCGGATGGTTTAATAGTACAAACGTTTAGAACCTCTGCACGATAAAAAAAAAAGTTTCTGTTATTACCGGGTGTTTTTTTGAATTTCAAGAAACTATTGGCGACTTCAAGGAAGTTTCTTGAAAATACAGCAATATACAAGACTGCGTATTGGGACTGAGCGGTTTCAAGACCTGAGTCTTGGAACTCAAGACACCAATCCAAGACTCTTTCTTGAAATGGTCAGGGGTATTTGAGCATCAAACATTTTCGGTTCCTTTTGTCAAGAGTAATCCCTGCCAGAAGTTACATTTTCGATTTTCACACATGACCTTTTACACATGTGAACCATTCCGTAAATCACACGGATTTTGTAGGACACACGTCAAACTGTGCAAGACGAGTTCGGCAGGCCTAAAACTAAGGAAAATATGATCGGTTCAGCCAACTGACAGTGCGATCGCTTGTTACAAAGCGTAGAAGTCGTGACGCGGGCGCCGCAGTCGCTCGTCTCCTTTGGAATTGAGCGGCGCGACCGCACTTCAAGAAAAAGTCTTTTATTGGTGTCTTGACTTCCAAGCCGCAGTCTTGTATATTGCAGTGTTTCCAAGAATTTTCCTCGAAGTCACCATTAGTTCCTAGTGATAAAAGAAACTTTTTTTACCGTGTGCCATTTTTGTTGTATGAAAAAAAAATAGTGAGGATTTTAGAATTTGCCTGTCAAGACGCACCAGCTACCACCCGAAAAGATTTTTTTTGCTCAGTTGTCTACGGGTTCGGCCTTGAAGCCGTATTTACGATCAAGAGTGCCCAAAGTCAGACAGGGTGCAATTTTTCATACGACAAGGAGAACTTTTATTTCTAATAATTTTCAGGTAAGACGCCGGTCCCTTTTATACAGGGCGGGAAGGAACCCTGACTTTACGCAACGTTATGGCAAGAGTTGACATGCATCCTAAGTACTTACAGGTTTCAACATAATATGCGCGCCTTTGACGACTTCTCCGTGCTTGAAAACTTGATTGTAAAAATGAGGAATATTTTCTTTGAAAGCTCGACATCCATTGTTTTTAAAGTGAAAGACAAAGGCGTTGTCCTTCCATTGGTTATTTGACCGAACATCAATAACTATTTTTAGCTATTATTATAAAGATTTGACAAGTTAGTGTGTGTATAGTTGCTCAACACAAATAGGAGAGGCCATGGTTGGTTTTTGTGTGTTGGCTGACTTCACACATTCCCAAGTAACGGTGATCAGAGAATAGTCATTAATACGTCAGTGCGTAAAATCTTAGTCACAAATGTTAAAGTCAGCATGGCGTATTTTATCGTTAAAAATAACAAATTCTTTTGATGTCAAAATGACGTAGTCATGAAGCTGAATTCTTTTTTTTTCATCCCTAGCCACGAAGCAGAGTTTGCCGCTTCATTCTTGATCATCTCTGTCTACTCCCTCATCATGTCACCAGAACAAATGTACATGTTGTACTGGTTTCAGGTGATATTCATACCCGACACCATGCGGTTAAGGGTGGGCTCGCTGGCCCCTGAGCCAGATGCCCAACTGTGAAACGAGCTTGCGAGTCATTTGTGTTTAAAACCAAGGTTTTCATCAACTTATGTCAACAGACGTAAACATGAAAGTTTCTCTCATTGAGCAAGACCGTCACTCTTATTTTTTGGTCACTAAGTTATCATTTTCAAGTGTTATTGTACATGCTGTGACCTGTTTAACGAAAAAGAGGTCAATATTTCGTCAGTTTGAAGTATTCCTGACTAATCTCTGTTACCTGGGTTATTTGTAAGAGCCACTTTGACATCCACTTTTATGGGTTTGGATGACACAGTTCTATATTAACTGTCTTACCCAGCAGCCGTCATCATAAGGAATTGCAAACGTAGCATTGCCTGTCAAGACTTGTAACTCTTTTGGTTTTTGTGGGTTGAAGTGAGAAGCACGAATATACCATTTCGAGGGAAGGTTTGGTTCACACATGAAAAAGCGGTCCCCATAGGCAATGTAAGGGCCCTATTGGAAAAACAGATATGGAATACATTAAAAAAACGTTTCGAACGAAATATCATCAACTGAGGCTAAGTGCTAGTAAAAGGCACATTTTTGAAAAGCGGCCAAAATTTAAAATAGACATTGCAAAAAGACATCATCTAACTTACTATCAAAGTGTTGATGGCTTTGCCGAGGGTGCCCTGCTTGACCATAATTGCTAGGAGCACTAGTAGGAATGACATGTTGAATAACGGTAATACTAGCGCTGTAAAAAACAACTGCCGAAATTTCACAAATTAACTCTGTAATTTACAGTAAATTAAGCGGCCCCGGCCCCGAGCGGCACTAGAAAGGTAACTGATGTCTGTCAGTTTGAGGCCGTGGTGGATTCCTAAATTCTCGCTTATAGCTTGAAACTCGAAGAAACAGTAATTTGGTTTTCGAGTAATATATCTAATTAAAATGAGGGAGCCTCGGGTCCAGCCGTAGCCTGCCGTACTAGGCAACATACTGCGCGCTTTGACAGTACACCTATCGCGTGATACATAAGTCCCGGGACAACTAGCGTGCCACACGAAAAAAAAAGACAAAAGAGTTTTGATCAACACTGGTAAAACAAGTGTTTAATATTGCACGTCAATTGACGTCTAAGTTCAAGTGTGCTTTTTCTCGACACTTTGTGGTGTCGAACTATGTTATACGTCAGTTGGTGTTTAAATTTTCGACACTTCCGAAACGTAGCAGCTGCACACCGTATGGTTCCCTATTGACAGCATAGAACTACTGTGTGTGCCCAAGTGTGCAGAATTTAAACGTTTACAAAACGTCTAAAATTTGCATAGCACGCAAGTGTGCAACTTGAGTTAAACACCATGTAATGTGCTAAATCACAACTTGCACACGTTTGGTGTGCAAATACTGCACACTTGTTTTACCAGTGAACTCAGTGTGATAAGGAGGAGAGAGCACAATCGCCAGAAACCCGTGAAGGACAGATATGTTCACTGTTGTAGAATCACAACGGAAGTGTAGTTAATTTTGTTAGCAACACATGCTGTGTTTTTACAAACATACTGTCAAAAAAAAAACGTTAATCAAAATGTTGAAACCAAAGTCTCTGATCGAAAAGTCACTTTTATTTTGCTCATGGGAAGGAAAGTGTTTGGTTTTGGAACGAAATGTGATGCTAACAAAATTAACTACTATTTTGTGTTACATGTTCAAAAAAGTTATACCAAGTAGTTTCTCTTGTGGATCAATATAGGCCGAATATCACAAGTTTCGAGAGTGTTCATAAATAAAAATAACAACATTTCTGTTTTAGGAGTGTCATCCCGCCGTCTATGGTCAGGTGACGGTTATTTTTGACGGTGAACGAGTCTGATTTGGACTCGTGGAGACTCGACGATTTTTCAGCCGACAGGTTTTCAAGGAATCTACTTGAATTCCAAGATGTTCTTTTCACCGTGTACTCACACTTTTAAAGGTGAGTGACGTGAATCGTTCATTAAAAAAATGTAGTGAGTGAACAAACATATTTTTCAAAGTCATTATGAGTAGAGGCTGTGCCGAACATTCCCCCCGAGCTGCCTTACTGTAGCAGCAGCGGTGGCACAAGAAGGAAGGAGGGGAGTCGGGCCGTTCCGTATGCCCTGCGCAGACCGAGGACTGTGATCGGGAGAAGTACTCACTCGTGTACTACTGTACCTCCCCGTCGTCGAGCCCCGTTCCCGCTCTCGCTCGCTCGCTCTCTCTCTCTCTCTCTCCACAAAGGCCAAGGCGCCCAATCACTCAGCGTGAGTGAAGCGGGCGACAAGCTCCAAAAGTGCACTGTTCAGACACCGCGAGATGTCGTAGTGAGACACACCGTGAGGAAAAGTAAATTAGTCAGGAAACTGAGAAGGATATCTTTAGGCGTTACCACGAGGCACACGGATTGGCAACCAGGACGGTGCGAAAAAAATTGGCCTAGAAGGGTGATGTTACTGACGACGGTCAAGGGTGGAAGGAAAACCTCGGGGAAAGAGAGGACGCTGCAATATACATGCACAAGGAAAACGGGGAATGAAAAAGAGCAGATGAAGAGGAGGGAAAGGTGAAGAGAAGGATGAAAGGGGGGGGGGAGATGAAGAGGAACGGGAGGGTGGAGAGAAAGACGAAGAAGGCGAAGAGGAAGAAGAGGGTGGAGAGTAAGATCAGAGAGGGGGTGGCGATGAGGAGCAGCGCAGGCAAGCAGGGAGGAACGGCAAATTCCAAGTAAATTATTTCCGAGGTCGTGCCGATATTGATTGCATTACAGGAGTGGCGCACCCCGCTCTCTCTCCCTCTCTCTCTCTCTCTCCACCATGCCTCTGCACCCAATTGAATGAAAATGAATACCCCCCCGTAAGACGGCCGCGCCCGCCTCAAGGACACGCCCGACCGTGACTCGCCCTTGGTGTACTTCCTTTTTTTTTTTTTTGACTCTCCTTCTCTCTCTCTCTCCTCTCTACGGAAGGGTCAGAAGCACGCAGGGGTGCCAAGTAAGCTAGCTCTAAAGGGACAAGAGTGAGGTATAGAGATGTAGTGAGATTTGGAGGGAGGGAGACAGAGAGAGAGAGAGAGAGGGGGGGGGAAAGGGTGGACAGAGCCGGCCGCCGCGCAGCGACCCCGCTTTCAGCGACACGGCGCGGTGCCCCCTGGCCCCCCATCCGTCGCCGGTATTCGAAGTCGCCGCCGAAACGCCTTTGAAATCGGTTTGAGGAAGCCATTACCCCGCCGGGGACACGCCTGATTGGCTGTTTGCTCGGCCAATCACCTCAAAGCAGCTGGGGGTCCGGCCGTAACGCAGGCTCCAGGACCTGCAAGCTCCAGGAGGGCTGGAGAGCCTGGAGGACAGCCTCGTCCCAGCGGCGCTTTGATCCTTCCCCCGGCGCTCGGCTCGGCTCGGCTCGGCTCGGCTCGGCCGGAGAGGGACGAGACGAGTCGCCGCGTTGTAACGATATGGACACGAGGGACGACCGGGACAACCTTGTCGCCAATATGGCAGTCCATAATATATCGTCTCTCCCCGCCTTATTCAGGAGACTACACGGCCGGGCTGGCGTGGGAAAGGGCAGTAAACCGGCCTTGCGTGTCTACGACGAGTTGCATGTACGTGAACGCAGCACTGAGATGGCAAATCCGAGAATAAAATAAAATTGAAGAGCGAGAAAAATAATACATAAAGCGCACAAAAAATCTGACGTCTTTTTTAAAAAAGAAGTGATGGCGCATTACTTTTAAATTTTGATTATTTTTCCAGACGTTTTCGGTTTTTGTAAAATGAATACCATCCAAGTGTGGAAAATTGTCAGTGCGTGCGTGCGTTTCCAGCTTGGCAATGAGAGTAGTACTGCAAATACAAATATAGCGCAGCCACATACTGCAAGCTGGCGCCGTGCAGCCGAGAGTGGTATGGGCAGGCACCGCCGCCTCCTAGTGACGTCGTGTGGGCCGAGCAAGTAGGGAGTTGGGGGGAGGGGGG